CCTAATCTTAATGGATCAAACGAAAAGTTTTACATATTGCATATACCTTCAAAATAAATTTTTCCAAAGTAATAAATTTCTCCTCATATGAAATAAGTAGACGATTGAAGTGAGCTAATGGACATCTTTGGCTTAAACTATGATTTCATAAAGCAGATAAGTACAAGTAAATTCTGAGAAAGCAGCTGGGATTTGGCATGAAATAGTAGCCTTTCCAAAAGTTGTTTTAAACTGAGGAAGCGGAATTGACGATAAATTCCATTGACTTATCGGATTCTAACACATTATATTTTGGAAAAAATGGTCCATCGTATTTCGCTTTATTCTCAATCGATTATTTCCATTTTCATATTTCATTTGTTTATCTTCTCTAAATAATGAATTGGTCACATTTTGAATTGTTCGTTTAAATCTATTGCATTCCTTCTTCACTGTAAAAATTGGAACTATTTATATACTTTTTTTTCGAATCATTCAAATAGCAGTGAATCGGAAAGGAAGTTGTTTCTTCTTTTCCCAAAATCATCAAATAAAGCATGTTTACATAAAGAATTAGTGGTGAAGCCAATCCTGTAAAAAGTCAGAAATTGTATGATCAATGAAAGATAATTTATAAATTCCTTAAGAAATTTAATTCCTTAAATTCAGTTCGGTTTCTTTAAAAAAAACTCCAAAAAAGGGTACTTAGGAAAATTTTTTTTTCTCGGATCCAACTGTTTGAAATATCATTTTTTTTTCTTTTGCCATTTTCTATAAAATTTTCCTTTGATTGATTGGCTACGGCAACTGTAATGCATTATTCTTACTAATTCTGGGATTAGAATTGATTTTACACAAAAACCGGATAGTTTATACTTCCTGTATTTACTTTTGAAAAAAAATGAACACTTTCTTTCTTGTCGTAAGAATTCATTTTTCTCGTATTACCATCAAAATAACGCATCAAAATATGATATGTATTGTATAGCAAAGGAATGTAAATGCTGACTGTATCGACAGAAATAGCATAACATCATAATTTCTATTCTTTCCCTATCCTCTCCTGTACTATTCCTAACATTCTATTGTCCTGGACTAATTTTGAAGTTTTCATAGCTAATTGTTAGATACAATACTGTCCTGACTTGTTTGTAACATTAGATGCAGCTAAATTTGCTTTAATATTATATCGTTCTTAGTTTACATTCCTTTATTGTGGAATTATCTGTTGATACATCTGATCATCTCTTACTGTCCTTCCTGATGTATAATATTTTCCTTTTGGAATTTTGTTCCTCATTATTAATTATAAAAAGGATTGGAATTTGAAATATTCTGCGAAAGTCTACAGAAGCATTTTGTAGTTGGATGAACTTTACATTATGCATGTGTGCGTGTGTATGGGTTTTTTTTTCCTTTTTGCAAGTCAATATAATAGTGAAGTTTTGAAAATTTTTTAACCAAAAAAAGAGTGGGATATTTGTTTATATCATTTGTTTGATGTCATTGCTTATACAAATATAAATTTTATTGTCTAGTAATAAGAAGTTTCGATATTTTCACCTTCTTACAATAATTTATTTATTTTCTCAAAACCAATGGTGACAGCCTTTTTTTGTTATTTCGAACATCTCAATTAACAAAAGCAAAAAAATGACTACATTTTTGCATAGCAATATTTAAATGAAGTAATCTACAGCAATTCTTCTTACTCTCTTCATTCAATAAATAAGCCTATCTCTTTGTACATTTACCTGTACAATAGAAATGCAGTCATTCTTTCCATCTATTCTCTAATATGTTAAGTAAAAAAAAAATGATTGAATTGAAAAAAACTGCAAAAAAACAGGGTAAATAAAATACTTGATAGAAATTTCAGAAAATTTATTGCCGAAATATAAGATTTTATTCAACTAATTTTTCCTTCACTCAATCGGTAGATAAGCTGGAAGTTGAATTTCTAGGAGTGCAACATATAAATAAATCATAAAGAATGAGTTGAAAGAATCGAAATACTTTCAGTTTTTTTTTTTGGTTTTTTGTTATACTCTCTACTTTTCAATTTTGTTCTAATTCATTTCCTTTTAAATGATATCAATATTATTCGAGTAGGCAAAAAAAGGAAAAATGGATAATTTGAAATGAACTTAAAATATTCATTCTCCAAACCACTATTGCAGAAATTAAACTGTATAAAATAAAACACTTGAGGATTAGCGCAACATTTATGCATACATTTCATTAGAATTGCTATTAGGAATAAAATTGGAAATAGATGCATTATTTAATTTAAATTTTTTTAATTTATCGGGGAATAAATTTATTAGTAAAAAGTACTGTGGTGATGAAATGCTACTCATTGAACTTAAGTTGCTTATTTTAACATATGCTTTAAAAAAACTTCAAATTTCGTCCGAACTTTGTCAGCCGAAAAAAACAAAAATTCTGCTATGGCAAAGTGGTTGGTGATGCATGGCCGTTCTTAGGTGGTGGCGTGATTTGTCTGGTTTATTTCGATAACAAACAAGGCTCTAGCCTACTAAATAATTACTGGATAATTTTGTCCAGACAACTTCTTAGAGGGACAACCGGTGTTTAGCCGCATGAAGTTGAGCAATAACAGGCAAAGTCTTTTTTTTTTTTTTTTTAAATGGATTTCATCCGGAGTAAGTTCATTTTTTACGAAAGGAAAATCTCTTTCTTGAAACTTAAATTTACACTTCCCTCCTCTAATTAATGGTCCATTGTTTCGATTTTGAAAGTTCTTTTCTTTGTACTGATATGTTTGGAATAGCTCGAAATAGTTTAAATAAGCATATGTCTCTATGCTCAGGATAACTAATGATTGATTGTTACCAATCATTATTTAGAGATGGCACAACGAGCTTGGAATTATCCCTACATATCCTTGCACTTGTAAGTCATAAATGATGTATAGTAAACATACGAATTGAAATTTCTTCCTCAACTGCTTCCTTTTCCCATTTCAAAAAAGAAAAGAAATAATGAAGCTCAGAGATTATTGACTTCCTTCAATTTAATTTTTTTTTTTTTAAGATTTTTCTCTCCAATTTTCTTTCTCCTTCTGTTTTCTTCCTTTTATTCTGTGGCATTAATGCGAAAGGATGACTGAAAATGGAAACTGGCTAAAATTGTTTTGTTGGAATTATTGAACGAGACGAGAGTAACAAACTTTAGTTTTTATAATTTTATTTTATAAATCAGGGTGATTATCTGCGAAAAATTCATATTAGTGTCAGTTCATGAACTTTATTTATTTTCTTATAAGATAATTTAAAAAAGTATAGAGGAAATAAAGGAACTAATTGGTCGATATTATGAAGGGGTAATTCTCGAGATTGAATTACACCCATAATGATATCTTACTCCTTTTTTGTATAGTAGTTTATATTGTCCATTACTAGTCAGTTTCTATACAGAAAAAAATCATTTTTGCAATGACTTATCATTGGATACAGATGGCAGTATATTGAAATGTCAAATGAAGCATTGCATGTAACAATTTGTATCGCATCATCTTTATCATCCTCTACCTAAACTGATTAGAATGACGAGCCGATGATAGTGTATATCGTGTGACAGAAAATTTTTGCAACGATTCCTGGTCCAAACATAGGGAAACTTTTAAAACTTTTTTTCTATTATCCCGATGAAAGTATTTTATGTGGCAAAACATGTAAGTGTTTTTTATTTGGATTCATATGATTGAAATTTTTAATTGGATTTTACTTCGTTCATGGTATAACTGATAAATCCATTAACATCAATTACATCAAATGGGTAATAATGTGTTGTCTGTCGTTTGGTTATATATATATATATATATATATATATATATATATATATATATATATATATATATATATATATATATATATATATATATATATATATATATATATATATATATATATATA